TAAACAATATTAAAATATATAATATTATAAAAAGTAAGTTTACATTATTTTATATTATTTTGTAATTTAAATATAATATTTTAAACACAATTTTTTTAAAATTTAAAAGAGTATAATTAAATATAAATAATTAATAAAATTAACTTATTGACTAAAATGTATTAATCATAAAAGGTTTTTAAATAATAAAGGATTAATCAAATTTAAATTTAAATAAAATAAAATAACTTACTCCCTATAATTAATTAATTATTAATAAAAACTTTATTAAATTTAAATTACACTAATAATATATAGTAAAAATTAAATAGCTTACAATCTGTAGTATTTAAACCATTAAATTTTTTTTCAAAATAAAAATGAATAAAAATAAAAATAAAAAAAATTATTATATTTTGTTAATATGTTAAATTTGAATTATAATATCTGAATCAATATATAAATTTCTTTACCTTTAAAATCTTTGCTAATAATTTAACATACAAATAATTAGAAAATAACTATTAATTTTAATCCTTAATATATATTAACTTTAAACTTAACTTATTAATTTCTTTATAGGCATTTAATGTCCATGCATCATTTGCATTAATTTCCAGTAATTTGTTCAAATCTGCAAGTGATTCATCATATCTTTCAATCATACAATAAATTTCTGCTCGATATCTTAATGCAAATGTATTGTGTCTCAAATTCTAGCAACTTTGTCAAATCTGCAAGTGCTTGCTCATATTCACCTATAACAAAATAAAGTTTTCCTTGGTATTTTAATACATTTTTTTTAATTTCTAATGATCTCGAAAATCTATTAATCTGTTGACTTATTAATTTATCATTATTTGGATTAAGGATTTCAGCCCAATTATTCTTTAAAAATTCATCAATATAATCACTAAGAAAATAATTAATATTAATAAATGCGTAAAGAAAAACAGAGACTAATAAACATGCCTGTGTATTTGAACTTTCTATAGCCAAAGTTTGCCCCTACAGATCCACCTGGCGACATTAATCCAACGCAAGGATACAATGCTTTTTTTAAAATCTCGGAATGCAATGCCTTTAATTATACAATAACTGCTAAATCTCTATTATTTGAATTAAAATAACAACGTATTTGCAATACGATAATAGTTATCTAGATTCACACCATTTCTGGTATAAAATGCCGTATTATTTCTAAATTTTATACAGCATCCAATAGTATCACCAGTCATAAATTTTGATCCATATGGTTTTCCAACAGTATCGTTAAAAAACCTTTTTCCATCATCTCCATGATAACCCCACGAACTAGCTTCCCAGCCTACAATAAAATAGTAAAAATAATAATATTATTAACTAATTAGAGGTTGTTAAAAGAAAAAGATAAAATTACCGGGCAATCTATTTAGGCTTGCTGCTTGTGTGCAAAACCCGATTCCAATCTCACTATGGTATTTCAACGAATAGAATTATGATAAATTTTAAATAATTGTATTATAAAAAATAACTTCAAAATTTACAACATACCATTTTCCCCTTTATTTATAATGTCAACTTCAAAATAAAATAATCCACATTGCTCAGGAATAGGATGATTTGCTCGAATTGCAGCACAGTATTCAATTCCACCAAGATCTTTGTATTTGAAAAAATTGAAGTTTTGCAAGAATTAGTGATCAATACGAAAACAGCAAAATTCTAATAATGAAATGTAATTAAACACACCTGTATAAGTCATTATAAGCCTGTCTGAATTTAATCTTAAAAGATTACGTCTATATTCAATATTCCATGCGGTTGGTAAATCCATATGTAAAAGTTTGATTAATAAAGTTTTGATTTGTCTACGTAAATTCTTATGTAGAAGCTTTAAATACGTTGCGAATATAATTTATTAAGAAAAAAAAGATTTTTGAATATTTTGATTCCCATTGTAATTTATATATAATTTGTCATACAGTATATCATGCATTTGTTCAACAAAAAAGGTTTTAACTAAAAAGAAATATACTAAACCTTTCTTGGAAATTATCTTGTTAAACTGAACGAGGACAGTTCTTTGAAAATATCAAAGCAAGAATAAAAATGTTATTGTCAAATTTACTCTTTGGTTTATCAAATATATTGAATATCCAATTGTAAATTTTATGGAATTGAATATTCGAATATAAAATGTCGGTAAAAAATATTGATAAGATTTCATAATTGAGTTCAGAGTTAATTAAAATTTTTAGGTAAGTTTATAAATTTCGCCCGTAAAGAGTTTCCTCAACACTATAACCTCATGCTTCCAGAAAGAATACTTTTTTATAGAAATGATTAAAATTACGTATCTCGTGACTGGAAAAATTTCATAAATTTTTATATGTTTCTAGTATGTATAAAATTACAATTTATTATTTTTTTTTAAGAATATAGTTTTTTTTGTAAAAATACATACCATGCATTTGTATATTTTGTGTAATCATGTTCGTTTTTAATTTAAAATATAGTAAAGAAATACTTGAAAACGGAAAAATTTTGCGCCAAAGTCGTCTTATTAACTTTCCAAAACATTTATTATTTTATATTTATAAAATTATAAAATTCAATTTAAGCTATTTGTAATAAAACTTATTGTATTATTTGAAATTTTGTTAGCATATCTTTGACTAAGTATTACGCTTAAGTAAAAATTCTTCCTTGCCTTGAAACTACACTTTATAAGTTAATGGTTTCGGTCCCAAGCTCTATAGTATATTCTGAGCGATTTCCTCCGCCACACTTTTGCATGGCTTGCTGCTATCGTAGATGTTCCTGCTGTTGTTGCAATTGTTGCGGTTTTTGCAATTGTGTAATATACTCTTTTTTTTTGGTTAAATAAATTTCTGAATAATTTTTCGAAAATCGCTGCGCCATAATTAAAAATAATCGAAACCGATTTCTAAATTTTATTTTTATTTATTGCTATCCTGTCTTGATTTTCTTATTATTTTAATTTTTTTTTTTTGTCATTTGCTTTCTTATTCAAAATCTTACCTAAAAATTAAACTTTATTTTTTTTCACGACATATAAACAAGGTAATACATTCTGAAAGTAATAATGAGTGGTAGATACTTTCGTATAACTACAGCATTAAACATAAAATCAGATTTATATCAATAGAAAAATTAATATTGTATCTCCTGTGAAATAATAAAGAAGATTCAAAGCAGATGCTAAGTTTATGTTGGTATCGAATGCTAAATAAATAGTCTCAATAAGTTTATTGTCGAGTTGTTGTGTATTCAAAGTTTGCTGTTACTAGTATAAAATGTTGATAAATTAAACCTCTCGTGGTCAAAGATTCAGCACATATAAATCAAGAAACCTTGAAGGGAGTTTATACGATGTAGGTCTACTGATTCGTAATGAACAATTGGCTATACATCTTCATCAAAGAAACTTATATGTTCATGGCGTATTCGTTCATTCCTAAAAGCATATAGTGTTCTTTTCCTTCCGTGAACGTCTTTTTCGTTTCCGATGTTTACAAAAGATTTATGGTGAATAGGATATGTTGTGCCCCAAGTTAATGATCTGCCCCAAATGCAAATTTCAATTTCGGCCAATCCAATTTGAAATTTCAAATTTGGACAATGCGATTTTGCTGCCCCAATTTAAAATTAGGGCAAATTGAAAATTGAGACATGCGGAGACCCAAGTTAACTATTACCCTAATTTAAATTGAAATGAAATGTGATGTTTTAAGTTATAATATTTTATGCTTTATAAATTAAAATCATTGTTAAATTTACTAAATAATTGAATAATATTTATGCAAATTTGCTAGAATTTAATATTTAATTAAAATATAAACGCTATTTTTGAAAATTTAATTATAATTTATTAATACCCCTTCCATAATAATGAAATAAAATGAAATTTTACTTCAAACGAAAAGAAGACTAGGGCGAAAATAAGAGTTAAAGAAAAAATCAAAATTTAGCGAAAGTATCGTATTGTCGAGCCACAATTGATCATCAAGGCACGTGATTTATTATAGCTAAGTTCGGGCATTAAATTCGAGATGCCCCAGTTTGAAATTTAAATTTGGACTGCCCCGAAATTGAAATTTTCGGTTCTGGGCAAAATGGATCTGCCCTAATTTAGAGTTGGGGCAGATCGCAACTTGGGGCACAACATTAACTTAATTAACTGAAAAAAAAATTAGATTTTCTTTTAAAGTGAAAATATATTAGGAACTAGGGAGGTTTGAGATATAATTTAAAGATCAAATATCACCCGTTGTCATTGCATTGCTTTATAATATCCTTCCTTTGTAAGTTAGATTTGTACAAAATGAATCATTAAATAAAGTTTAAAAAAGTCAAAATGCCTTATAATACTTTCTTAGGCGATCAAAGTCCTAAGGATAATTCAAAAGCTCGATCGCAACAGTTTAATTCTTCAAATTTGAAATTTATTAATAGAAATAAATGAAAACCAAAATGAAATTTATAATAATAAAATAGAAAGTTACATACAGTTTACTTCCGAATAAACAAAAACCGAAATCATTACAGGCTGCAGCGATCCAGCCCTCCTAAAAAGAAAAAATTAATAATTTGATGAAAATAAAAATTAAAGAAAAAAACCCTACCAGAAGTAATCAAACACGAAAGAAATCGCCTAAAAAATATCCTAACAGAAGAGAGAAAATAAATAATAAATAAGAATTCAAATAAAAAAATAAAGACCTTACCATTTTTCCAGTATGTGATAGTTAGGGGTTTTTAATACTTTTACATTATGTTTATTTGAATATAGGTTCCATTTCGGATTCATACGGGAGGTCGGTTCGATCTGTTGTCGTATTATTATTATTATTTGTTAACTGGGTTTTTTTTTATTTTTTACTATTTTTAGGCGATATCTTTTGGCATCACATTTTTTTTTTTTACTTTTTAGTTCGATCGCGTGTCTTGTTATTATCTTTATATTATAATGGTTGAATTATGACTTAAGTTTGATAACCTGATTTATACCCGGATATATGTAAATTGAGGCGGTTAGATTATCTAGTAGATTGTTTTCGATTTGAAGGTGAATTTCTTTTTGTTATAAATAAAAGTGAACATCATGAAATGTTACTCATATAATACTTATTTCCACGAAAAAACTTACCGTAAACAGCTGACTTAAGTACCCAGGCCGGGTACTTTACAAATTCATGAAGTCGAAGGGGTACTACGGAAGGTGATCTGGGGGTACTGTACTACAATGATATTACTATATAAAAGTTTATCCAATTAATCTAATATAATATGGTGGCTTTTAATAACGAAACTTTCAAATATCTTTTTAAAATTTTTTAAAAAAATAAATTTTAATATTTTAACGATTTAATAATTTTTTCATACAATCTTTAAAATTATTACAAATCATTTTAATTTTGCTAAAATGATTTATTATAAAACGCGTTTAAAAGCTCCCCCTTTTTTATAGATTAAGAAAATGAATTTATTATTTGGTGTATTTTTTTTTTTTTTTGATTTTATTGATTAATAATAACAAATTTGATATTTTCATATTTTTAATCCGTCAAACCCGTCGAAGATGACAATTATTTTCGACTTTTGCAAAATTTTGCCCAAAAACCTTAATTTCGATCGTAAGACGTCTTGTAATAAACAAAATTCATACGAGTCATTAAAATAATTAAATATTATAGCAAATGGTGGTTACTATGATGCACAAATAAAAATCAGAATAGGAAACTTTATATTATCTATCAACAAATTGAATTCAATCCATAAAAAGTCATAGTCAATTTCGGCGGTTGGTAACTATTTTTTCCCTAGCCTTAAAACTGTAATTTCGATATTGGTAAGCGAAGGTTTTAATATTTTGTAAGTATGATTTACTAAATACTAATTAAACAAATAAAAATGAGGAAGAAAAAAATCTATCTATTTCTCAATAAAAAAACCATAGTTTATATATTAATTTTTGATAAAGATGTCTAAGAACAATTTGTCATGTGAACAATTGGCCATGTGACATTTTGTCTAGAAAACATTTTGGAAGAACATTATGGCCAGAGAACAAATTTTCCGGCAAGCCCGGAGATTTCAACAGTCATCGAAATCGAACTCGTCGAAACCGTCGAAACTTATCGAAACCGAAAGGTTTCCGACTATTCCCAAAATGGGATTACGGTATTACCATCCATGTAACCATACTCGAAAAATGTTTTCAAGAATCATCTTTACGTACCTGTACGTTTCTGACTGTTTTATTTATAAGGGACTATAATGTATCCGGATCGTAAATATTATATTTTGGTTCTCTTTCATCGAGGATTTTAATAAAATGTTAAGATGATTTGTATACTATAAGTAAAAAAATAGAATTTTACTTAACACAATTATTAATTTATTTGTTTAAAACGACTCGGTAACGATCAAAATCAATAAGTCGAAGCATAAAAACATTTTTTTTAAATTGTTAAGGTTCAATCTTTTGTAACATTGCTCATGCGACCAATCCGTAAAATCCAAACCATTTTCGTGGGAAATCAACTCAATAAGGTCTTGCACAAATTGTTTAAATGTTTTCAAAGGATTTTTTATTATTATGAACGAAAATTTTTATTAGATTTGTGATCGGCGGCGAACAGGATTCTAGAATTTCTTTCTGAGAAAATCTTTAATGAACACAGGAATGTCCAAAAAAAGGAAAAGCCAAAAAGTGAAATTGGAAACAAATAGTTGTTGAATTTATGATACATACGCAATTGATTTCAGCAAAACATACTGTATCGATATTTATTCATTCACATTTATTTG